AATGTAGCGTAATTTCAGCGCGCCGATTTATTGCATTATTTCTTAGGATTTAGTGTCTTTGATGTTTGGTAGTTGTGGAATGAGAAGTTTGATGGTAATAGTTTGTGTGTTTATAATTTCTGCGTCGCGATTCTAATTTTGCAAGCTTGGTATTGTATAATTATAAAAATAAGTAAATCTTGGAGAAATTGTATGGGGCTAAGCATTCGTAGACATTATTATTCTCGAAAGAAAAGAAAATTTAGTTATTACAGTAAAATAAGTATTAGGTTACACTTCGATTAAGGATTAATTAATCGTCAATAATATATGATAATACTTCAACAAATTTTAATTTTTAAAAAAGCTTAAATTCTTCAAGGCTGCAGATAAATAACGATTTCAGTGATGCGAGAATAGAACAAGCCAGAAATTTGTAACCACAATTAAACAGTTACCGGTGAGAATACATTTCTGTTCGGTGCAATATATTACATTCGAGCAACGAAATAGTTGCTGAAATAAAGTTGCAAATATGTACGCGCGGCTTTAACTACCAAAGTAGGTCACTAAATGAAAGTTAATATGTCCTTTTTTCGGTTTTATTTGACTAGCAGCGCTGCAGACGTTGAATTTAACTCGAAAGGTCAGTAATAAATTTGTGAAACCTGTCCACAGGAAATTTTTGGTCTAGTCACCCCTGAAACTAGTTCCGTATTTCTGCGTCGCGGGTAGAAAACTTCTCTGGGACACGTAACTCGAATTCCGTCGTGTTACACGGACAAACCATTTTCTAACTGGCGAACTGTACCCTGTTATTAACTTCCACTTGTTGCACAAGGAACCTATTGCCTTAGTTTCTTTCGCTCCGTGCGTCTGCACTTCGTTTTAATTATTAACAATGTGACCGTTGAGTGCGCCCATATACGTGCACCGATTTACACGGATTTTAATAGTAGCATTAGATTCTAATTATGCAAACTGCAAAATGGAACGAATGTTTGATATTCTCCGAAATCAAATAGAATAGTTGCAGTGTGTTAAATATATTGATTATATTAAATAAAAATAATAATTTATGTTAAGGTATAAAATAATACTTGAGTTACTAATAATATTAAAATATATAAGTTGTTTTGAATTACACATTAAAGTATAAATAAAAATTGAATCATTTTTATTATTAATTTAGTGCTTATAATGGTGAGACAATATCAGCTTGATTTATTGGTTAACAATTGATCAAGTTGCAGACAAATCCTAGATATCATTACAATTACATAATTAGAATGATTGTTTCTTATCGTGTTTTACAAATTTGTATATGCCGTAAGTGCACAAAATCCACTCTACTGATAAAGTTTACTTCCTTATTACACGAATTAATTAATTCCATGCTAATGTACGTTTCTTTTAGATCACATTAAAGTGATATCCACGAACACGTTACCTCATACCTAATAATTCGGCTGCAAATTTTTATGCAAATCTGTATTTCTAAAGACGAGTTGGTAAAGGCAAAAATTTAATGTAAATTTATTACACTGAATAAATGTTTTTTGATGTTCATGTTAGCTGGCTTTTTTGGTCGTGTTTACGTAGAGAAGTTTACTCGTAACTTTTTTTTTAAAAACGTACAACGATCTCCCAAAGCTATGTTAATAAAACATTTATTTCGTAGGTATAATGAGACAACGGTAAACATTTTCTCACGTTCGACAGCGTACAGATAAACCCCGTTTAAATGATTTGAAAGTGACAATAAAGTAGTAGGCTAACTTATTAGAACACGGTTGCAACAGCATTATCCGTTTTACGATCCGAAGCTACATTCCTTTCCCTCGCACAAGAATGTGAGTTCTTAACTCAAACTGGAGCGAAGGTTAGAACAAGAAATATGCAAATTTTTCACGTTGCCAATTTATATCGAGTCCGTCAATTTATTTCGATTCCACGGTTACCACTTTTGCTTTGACAGTCGCAACATCAATGAATTACGACAGGCACGATGAAGAATAAGCTTCACAGAAATGAATTTTCCCGCATTATTAATTGGCATTAATCAATCATCGTTCTTCAAACCATTAATTAAACCAGTAGGCACAACATTTTCATCGAAATATCTGTTTCATTAGCTGTTTTCTTACTCGAATTCGTTTCCCCTGCGATTGACGTAAACTGTGCAGCTAATTAAAAGTGTGCATACATAACATGTCTAATAAGTCGTGAATTCTCCGAACGAAGACTGGTCGATATTAGATATTATAATTGTATGGGAATTTTCTTGAGAAGTGTTTGTTACAAATACAGAATAATTCATAATTTCTGGCATAAATCATGATTTCTGTTTACTTTGAATTTTAATTTTTAAACTACTCGCCAAATATTGAATAACAAGAAGAAAAAATGTATGTGTAAATAATAAAATTGGTTGAATGCTGTAATTAACACGTTGACTGTCACGAGAATTTCGTGCGTTTTGTTTATAGTAAGATTAATTTCTTTATAATAGAGGAAAATGTTTTGGTATTACGGTATTTATATTACGCTATTATCTAACTTCTTGTGTTACTAAATATTTTGATTTAATATTAATTTTCTTATCGTAATTGTTTTCAAGCAATTTGGAAGTTCTGATTATCGGTGAACACCGTAGCAGTTAACATGTTAAATATGTAACATTGCCGAGTGTACGACACTTAATCTATGCCCAAACTTATAATAATCCGTCAAATAAATTTGCTTTTTTACCTGTAGCTTTGGTGACTTTTCCATCTTCTGAAGTAACCTTCTTGCCGCTCACTAAAACTGCGTGTTTTAGTACTAAAGTGGCAAAAAGTATCGCCACGATCCTATCCATTGTGCATTTCGTCATGTTTCTGAAACGGAAATGAGAAATATTATTTACCGAAATAAAAATATACTTTTTCAGTTTTTTTTTAAGTCTTGCACCAATTTTCCATATTTTAAAGCTTATCTACAAATATAAATATAACGGATACGAATTCTATGCTAAACATTTTATAAGTGTAACAGTGCCTCCAAGAGATTGATCGCAATACAATTTTTACAAAATATTAACTATTAATTGAATATTCACGAAATGATACGTATGATCGTATAAGGCAGATAAAAGAAATAATTAGAAGAATAACACGAAATATATAGATGAAAATAAAAATTCAAATTAATTGCTACAATTAGTAGCGAGTTTCTTCTTTTCCTACTGGCTGGCAAATTATGTAAATTGCGACAGGTTGCATTATTAAAATCACAATGAAGATATAAAAGAAAAGCATTGCTCGAGCTTTTACATAATCCCATTGTAATGTCGAGCGTCCACTTCTCTTTATCGCGTTCCTTTTTTCCCGTCTTCCTCGAAAAATTGCTCTCGTTTCTAGGATAATAACCCAAAACGCGTTTCCCTTCCAAACCCGCGTAACATTAATGTTCCAGTTGCGTTTCGCGCTTTCCAAATGAACGAGAGAAACTCCCACACCTAATTTACCGTTCTAAGATCGCATCGTAGGATAAATACATTCGAATTTGAATTTATTCGATAGTGTTCTTTGTGTTACTAGTTTTGTGAAGCAGTGGAATGTTATGACAATAATTTACATTGATCAGAAGTTACTTTTCGTTTATTAGTTATGCACATTTACAATGTGGACCATTGATCTTTTGCCTTAGAATATCGTGTTACACTCACGATGAAAATTATGAACAACGTTCAACAAATTTAAATTCATTTACTTTAATTAAATTCATATTAAATTAATTTAATACTGCTTTTCTATTATCAATCGTTAATCTTTGGAGCAAGCGTAGACATATATTAAAAGTACCAAATCCTTTGTTTACTTTTTTAATAAAATCATTTATGATAAAGTAGTTTTGTCAAATACAATTTATAAGACAATGAATTAAAGACCTGTCGAAAACCCTATTCCTTCACTACGATTCTTCATTTTCGTTGCAAACTAATATGAAGATTTGACTAAAGTGCCATTTCTATATTATATTATGGATTATAATAAGTGTCTCAGAATTATTTAACATTCTCACAGAACTTATAACAATAAAAAATCAAAGCCTAGCCATAGAAGCTACAATCCTTTCTTATCAGTTTATTATTCTTTATTTATTACATTCAATATTCTTGATTAGTTTATAACTAGTTGCACCTAACCTGCAAGCACATTAATAAATTTTTAAAGCAATGAAATAGGTATAGGATGTTCTTAGCCTCTAGATAATTATAGTTCTTAATTCTTGAGCAGTAGTTGAACTGGTCAATTCAAAATTGATGGCAATTAACGTCATATTAGAACGATAAAACACCTGGTCTACGATGATCGATTTTCTTTGAGACTGTAGTGGCGAACGGGTCAAATTCTTAAAATTAGAACGTGCCTATACGTGCAACCGAAAGTATTTATGTTACTACCTAACGTTTCGCTGCGGTCGAGCGTGTAACAAAGTCTGTCGAGACATATTAAGAGTATTCGTTGTCTCAGGGGAACATAATTTCCTCATATGTGACTTTATTTCCTCAATAATGCGCAGCGCGCTAATTTCAAATGACACGCGACAAAAACGAGCTTGACATTATAGAACTGCCAGGGAATTCACCATGACGTTCGAAACGTGCAATCTTCGTTCACGTGATTGAAACACGACATTCTACGATAATTGACGTCACTCTGATTTCAAAGCAGTCGTTTATCAGTTAATAAATGTAGAATGTAAGCCTGACTCGTTGCAACATAGTAGAATGTCGCATTCGACATGCTGTAGATCAGTGGTCACGTTTGATTTAGTGTGAAATTTATTTGAAACTGGGAAATGTTTCAAATATCTTGTGTAAGTGTATACCGTGGAATTTTGTTGGCTACTGTTATGAACGCATCATTGTAATTACGTACAAGTTACAGAATAGCAAGTGAACTAAATAGTTTAGGTTAATATTTCGACGATCGTGATTTTTCGGACATGTAAACTATTTGTTCAAGTATTAATATAACTATCATAGTTTCATATACTACAACATGTGTTAATATTAAAATAATATCAGTACATTTTGTTTTAACATTAGACAATTTTATTGGTCAGTGACAAAGTATTACGAATAAATATTTTGATCATGTATGAATTAATTATTTATTTTATTATTATATTATATTACATTATATTATAGATTAGATTATTAAATTATTATATTATACTAATTACAAAATAATGAATTAATCAATATCAAGAAAGTATCTCAAAACACAATAGAAATCAGGTTTGCGCCAATACTAGAATATAATCGTTGACTAAGAGAAATAATTAGTGATGAAGTTAGCTGTCTTCGAAGTGTTGAAATTCATAGTTTATCACTGTCATGATAAATTTCGTCGAAACGGGACGGTGTTACATGACACGCCGATTTTATAGTAACAGAGCACGAGAAACTCGGCAGGTGCAACTGGTGTGCAATCTACAACGGCTCACGATTGCCTTCCGGTTACATTTCACGAATTTCTTTCGATAACAGTCGAGGGCACACGTACGCGGGTAAAAAGCTGCATATCTAATAAACTGTATATCTAAAATATCCGCGAACGTTCGTGTCTGGCTTGATTTTTGTTAGAGTATCGCACGGAAACGGAAAAATAAAAATATTCAAGTATAAAGTCATTTCACTTCCCTTTTCTATTAACGGTACGATCTTTCAAATCGTTTATATAACATTTTATACCATTGAATTTATATCATTTCAATAAAGCAACAAAAAATAATCCAATCGTTAGACTTAAGCTTAATGTTTTATTTTTAATGACTTTTAACGTAATACATCACTAGGAAAAGTCATTCTTCATTTATCACTCGAGTACTGAACAATACCAACAAAATTGAATGAATTGGAATTGCCAAACACATCATCCAATTTTGTTGATTTTGTTCAATACTTGAGTGATAAATTAAGAATGACTTTTCCTAGTTATATAAAAATACTAAAACTAAATTAGTTTTAGTATTTGCTTCTTTATTCGTTAAAACGTTCGTTATGTATTTTGAAAGTGAGGCATATAATTGTATAATATATTCGCGGTAGATTCCTGCGTATTTGTTTAACTCCACTGGACTTGTTTTTTCACTTATTACTCTTACGCAGTTTACGCGTACGTGGTCTTATTGGAACATAAAATTTCTATAAGCGACAACTGTTACGGAGCGCAAATTCCATTTCCAATAACTAGACCGCGGATCTTGTGCATTTATGGTGCCAGCGAATGTGTAGAATGCAGTGGAATAAAGAGTTTCATGGAACTCCATAAAACTTTGAATATGCTTATGACACAACAAAAATGTTCCCGGAGGAAATAAAATTTTGTTCGGTTTGACTTTGCTTCCGTAAATCACCGCTTAAATATCCAAGCTCGAAAAACTGTCCGCGATTTAATAACTGTTTACCATAAAAGCGAGAACACGAGTACTGTTCGTTTACAGCTCTGTTAAATAACTTTTTTTACCGACTGTTTTTCATCGGGTGCCTTGTCATTACGTTTAACACCGAAAGAAAAACATTTATAATCCAGAAACAAGCTCGGATCTTAGAGTATTATAAACGTTGAGCCACAAGATTAATCACCGATTAGAAAGTGGTTATAATATTCTAGAAGTAATTAAATTGATTTTTTCTTCTTAATCAATTTTAAGATTGCCGATATTAAGAATGTTTGGAAAACAAATACCAAAGTCGCTTCTCATATTTTTGATTGGTTAATGGTAATGATGGTATATAGATTGTATAATAATAATATTAATATATTACTATAATAATACTCTTAACATAATCATAATAATGCATATCACATAACATGTGAAGTAAAAATACTTCAATACTGATATATGTATAGAAAATAATAATTACCCAAGTAAATTATACTTCCTACTTTAACATCGTAAACGAATCAATGAACCTCAACTTCAACAACGATCTAGTTAATTACATTCAACATTATTTCTACCGAAGGTGTCAAAAGATACCTTTTTAAATTTTCACTTAAACTTATTTGCCAAATTTAGTCGTATATTCTGAATTGACCTTTCGACCTTTCCTGTAACAACTATAAAATTAACTATAGGAAATGTCCAGAATTCAATCGAGCAAAAATAATTAAACCAAGAAAATAATTTTAAATGAAAATTTCATAAGGTGTCTTCCTACACCTTCGGTAGAAATAATGTTATTAGTAATGTTACCGCCTACTTTATTCAATACTGTACTCTTTTCAAAACGTTAATTTTCATTTAATTGAATCAATACTTTAATGTAATTAATTCTATAAAAATTTAATCAATTTGAGCGTACTATTCCTATTTCTTATCAGCAACACCTAAAAGCAAATATTGCAAGCGTAGCATTATTTTCAATGTCAACAATCCAGCGAACCACACTAATCGTTAAGCGTCATTAACAATCGGAGGATTAAAACGAGAGATCACTTTCTTCGGCTACTTTCCAACGAGGAAGTTTAAACGGACGTGTTCCCGTGCTAATTGGATATGCAATTGCCGAACGAATTCATGCTGTGCAATCGTGAGATTGCACAAACCCTCTTTCCACTTGCGTGAAGGTTACGCGATTTTAGCGCCAGTTATCAGGCCAACTCAATCAGAACAGTTTAACGCGATACACCGACGTCGTTGAAAGATGCTCCGCCGATACTTCACGAAATTGCTTCAAGTTGCCCTCGAACTGCGCAAACATCAGCTATTAATTAGCGGAATCGTGGCGCGCAATCAAGCAGGAAAGGGGAACCGCGAAAGCCGATCGTTGGTTCATATATTCCGCAATAACCCTATCGATATTCCCGTAACCCGTTCGAGGACCGTCGAACATTCGGTTCTTCCGCCGATGCGATCGGTCCGCGAAAATAACCCTTTCGGTCAGAAATGAAGACTATTGGGAAAAACACATTTGTTTTCAGAATATACGTTCACCGAGTTATTATTTTTAACAGAAATAGATATTCTTTTGAAAAATACGATTTTAATTGTGAAAATAACGAAGTTTTGAAATTGAGGTTAATTCTTTAGGTCGTAAATAAAGGCTTTTAGGAAAAATATATTTGTTTTCGTAATATACGTTTACCGAGTTATTATTTTTAACAGAAATAGATATTTTTATGAAAAATACTGTTTTAATTGTGAAATCAAGGAATATTCATCACTTTCTGAAGAAATATTAACGTGTTGATCGCCACGCCAATCTTGAGGGTTTTGTGTAATATTAATTATCTTTTTCTAATAAAAGCAAATAGTATTAGAATTCATTATTAATGATGTGATATCACAGCTTCTAAGTTACACTATTATTTAGTTATTCTTTAAAATTATGACTGTTTTTCAAGTGAATTCAATACTATGAGAAACTTTTTATATTTAAGTGCAAATATAGTTGACGTTTCTAAAGAATTAAAAGGGTTAAGTACCTAATATGTGTAATTATACACTCTATATATTACTCCATAACTATCTCCCTCTTAAGAAGAAAGTATTATCAGATTTTTCGTATTAAAAAGAAGATTGAAGTTAAACGTTTTGAAAAAGTGGAATATCAAGTGAAAAGAAGTGGATAGTTCCAACACTTGTTGCTCTTCGCGTTCTATGGAGCCTCAACCGCTACTGAAGTCGCTGTAAATATTCGAGCGGTCTATTGAAAAGATTCTCTTACCGATTCAATGATTCGAAAGTGATCTGCGATTTTAACAGTAGACAATTTTGACGTCGATAATTAATAATTCTATTATTGAGAAGAAAATTTTTAAAAATAGACATAGGTAAAATAAAAAAAAGGAAAATTTTCTATGGGTGGCTTATACTTTATCGAAACGTTTCAATAAAAAAAGTATTACATAGCATAGACACTGTTTTTTATCCTCCCAACGTTTTGAAATATTTGAAAATAAAATTTTTATTTGAAAAATAAAATGAAATATTCGTTTGAAATAGAATTCGAAAAGAGATTGAAATAGATTCAAACAACTGTTAGCGCGTATTCGTTCCCACGAGAAACGTCAACATTAATAAAAAAAAAGAACTTTTATACCTAGGAAGCGAAACTACTATTGCGTACATCAATAAAAAAGGATATTCCTATTCTATCTGTTAATTCGTTGTTCGAAAATACTGTATGTACTCTATATATTTGTATGCTTGACACGTGAAATAGCAATTAAAACAAAGTCCGTATTAAACACGTGTTCCGCATCGTGAGAATACCGGAATGTATAATAGGCAACTTCTACCATTGCTGGACACTTTAGAGCATTCGGTACATTTCACTTAATGAAATTGATACAATTTTGCGGTAAGTACTAAGTAGAGTTTCCACCGGCATCTGCCTCATCCTTATTGCCTGCAGTGATTTCAAGGGATTGAGTCGACCAATTACATTCCATTAAGAGATTTTTAGATACCTCCAACGATCCTCTTAATCAACCAAAGCTTGTTGACCATGAATTTCGAAGATGCCATTCAGGTTTACATTTAGAAAGTTAAAAATGAAAGTTTTAAGGTTAAAAAACTTCAATTAGAAAATTCAAAGTTTGAAGTTTAACAATTTAAATTCTAAAGTCTAAAACTGGAAGGTATGAAATCTAAAATTTTAGAATGTTAAGATTCAACGATCAGTTGCCTAAGACATATAACTTCCATCAATTCTCATTTGAAAACATGTCCTTCTTACATATTATAGATGCAACTAACTAAAACAACAGTGAATAAAATTAATGACATTGTGAACGTGACAAATATTTACACTTGAAGCACGTATTATTTAAATAAGTAAAATGTTCAAAACACAGTTAGCACAGACTAACAAAAACCACTTCAATCAAGATACAAAGACTCAAAATATAAGTCGAATACAAAAATATGTTCCACAAGTATAAATTACATTCCACTCACAACCGATTCCTTATTGCCTCAAACAAATACTCAACATTAACCTACACGACAAATTTCGTTCTCGATGTCACAACCGTCAAACCCGCACCTCTTGCCATCCGAATCTATACTGTAAAATTCTTTAAACGAACCGTTCCAGTGATCGCAGGAATCGTCGACGTATCGTCACCAGCCGAGAACCATTTTCCCGATTTCCAACCGCAAAAAATGCGTCGGCCAGTTGCCCAATCGTTCAACGAAACGTCGTTCCCACTATTGTCGATACAAGATTCGTTCTTTCCGCGAATGTAACGATACCCACGACGTCAGAAACCACCGGACACGTTCGGCAGAAACGAAGGAAGAAGACGAAAAAGAACAGGAACGAGATTTCAACACGATTTTCTGCCGGGCACACAGTCGCGCGACATTGTCCTCAATTTGTAGCACGTAATTCGTTCCAAGAAACATCTTTTTCCTATTCCTGCATGCCCATCGGGACTCTGTCAGCGACGCTTTTATGGATTTCACGGCAAAAGCGTGGTGGTCGAATCGATTATCACCTGGAGGAACAATGTTGAGATCCGGCTAATGAGCAGCAACGATTATTTTTCAATGGTAGAACGATTTTCACGTTCGCCGGATGATAGACACGGTTAATTAACGAGCATCGCAGGTTTCCTTATTCACTGTCGCAGCAAGGCAATCTATAATTAGTCTCCTCATCGCCGAGTGCTGTATGCAGGGGTAAGAAGTGCTATTATCGAGGTAAACAAGCTCTCGTCGGTGTTAATCTTGTTGAGAGAACATAATTACAACTTATAATAGCATATTATTACTGAATTGTGTTGCGATTAGTGGGGGACAATAATAATTACACGTCGGACGCTGTCTGTTTAGTTTTAATCTCTGTAATGAACACGGTACTCTGCCACCATGTCTTTTAACCCTTTATAATGACGAGTAAGACTCTTAGATGTTCTATTCAATGGAAGAAGAATCAACGTTACTCGCTGTACATAAATCGAAGTCAGAAATTATTTTCTTATTGATACTATTTTCTTATTGATTTCTTCGCGTTCTCTCGAATTATCAATAACAAAATGAAGAAAGTCATACTGCAAGGGGTTGCCAGCTTTCAATTTTCTCTTTTCGCATTATGTTCACTTCGTTCGTTTATAATAGCAAAAGCTTCCCATTGTGCATAATTTGTGTAAAAGATCACTCTGAACAATTCACAGAGACTGTACGAATTTTGCATTTTCTCTTCCGCCCCACAAATAGAAGAATCTATTCTTGACACATAGCCCAGCAGTCGCGCACAACACGCTATCCGCTTTAAGACTCAGTTTCACACCTTCGGAGTAAATTTTCACTGAGAAATGTTTCTCGTACAGTCTGCGAGGCCTCATAAACTTTCATCAACTTGCGTCTGTCTTAAATTAGAAACCGATTTATCTGAAATCGATATGCGTCAGTCGTTCTACAAGAAATTATACATGAAACGTGCGAATTGAAATATCAACTGGAGCCCGTTTTCAAGGAAAAGACTGCGCTCGAATTTTGCCTGTTATTAAGGCACCTGTCTACTTTTTACCATTCCCAGTTATCGTCGCCGTAAACGCACTCGTGCACGATAAATGCGTACAGTCGATTTTGCGTAAATACCGAGGCCTTCAAAAAAAAAAAAGAATTATGCACCCTGTTATCGCCACACGCTTGAATCTAATAACGGCTTCAGTTTGCGTTGGTCACGAGATAGATTACGCACGTGATCGGCATGGTTTCTCCGAACATGTTAATACAGACATCAACGCGAATTCTGGTTTACCAGTACAACGATGAGCGAACGAGGAACATCCAAGGTAGGAATTGTTATGAGAAATAATCCGTCATCGAAATCTGTTTGCGCCGTGCAGTTTACCATTGCGCAACCGAGCTTATAATCATAAATTTCGCGCTGACCACTTTCACGATCGATGACGTGTCCCCCATTCGTAGAACGTAGGATTTGTTGACGTAAAATTGGTCGTGCTGTGGCATAAAAGAATCCACGTCACGGGATCGTGTTTTCTCACGATTCGTTGCGCGACAAAATGCCCAAGTATCATGTCATCCGTTCGTCTATTCCAGTTAACCCCTTGCCGTGCCATTTTACTCGCGCCACCTTTGTCTACCGAATAAATATTCCAGTAACAATGCCAATCCTGATTCGACAAATTATTCTGGGTAACGTTATCTGATCACTTTTCTTTGGGACCGTTATTCAGAGAAAGTGTTTCAGTTGCTTTTTGATATAAAACAGCTAGTAAAAAGCTTATTAATAGTCGTTCGGTGAATGATTTGATTCTTATCACTTTATTTAGCGAACAACTATTAACACCAGAACTATCGATCATTTAATGATTGATATGTAATCCCTATAAAAATTGCAACGATAGATTATTTTCAGTTTCTTCGGACTTCGTTGTAGCATTCGAGGAAAACTACTTTTGAAATCATTTCGAATATTCAATGCTTCTAAAGTATTGATCATTGCGAAACAAGGAAACCGAAACTCGTCATTCTGACTGGTACGGTAGTTTTTTTTAGTGTTAATAGGCTTTTAATAACTGTTTCATATCAGAAAACAACTAAATTATTTTCTTTGAATAATGGCCTCAGAGAGAAGTGCTTACGTTATGGTATCCAGAATGATTTGTCGAATTAGGATATCAATTGTTATTGCTATCGAAATGTTTATTAAGAAACTTTCACGCATCAATTATGAATCTTTCATAAATTGTTCGATATCTACCGGTAGATAACGTGCTAATAGTTTGAAACAACTCACTGGAATTTTCTGTTTATCATAAGTATACACTTACTTCGAAGGTAAAATGTTTACGATAACGAAATTGCTTTCTGCTTCGACTTGCACGTAATAAATAATATTAATGAAATTTATTCACGATGAATCTCACTTGTCATTATACAACAAGGAGTTAACATTTTAACTTATATATTATCAAACTACATACCCTTCGAAGACTTCTATTCGAAACATTTTTCGTTAATATCTCCAATACACTTTGTAATTGGTCCAGGACAAACATGTAGTAAATTGTTTTACCAGTGTTCAAAACATTCGTGCTTAACTCTCAACGATAAACGTTATTAATACCTGATAATATGTAAACTTGTATCACTTTTAATCTGTTTCGACAAGTTCATTATAGAAAGTTCGACGGTTGTATAACGTTTCTGACTGTAAACTGTCTCATTACTAGCCCATTGATATTTATGCACTTATGTGGAACATAAACGTGAAAGTCACTTCGAAACGTGAGCTACTATTAAATTTAATGTTTACTTTCGTGTTAAGCTGTCAAACCGATTGATACGAGAACTATATTTCTATTTCTCTTCTACATTCGAACAAAACGAAGACATTTTGTTTTACACGAATAACCTCGCTTCACTCGTTACAGTTCATTGATTTAACTCTCATCGTTTTGATGTAACAAGCGATAAGCCGAGCAACAAACGAACGCTGCGTCACAGAAATATTCGAACGCTAAACGAAGTTGAATATAATTTTCTACAAAACCCGAAATTATAGTCATTTCACGCAGAAAGTAGAAACGAGCTTCGCGTGAAGCATATGTTGCATAAATGATTTGATCAAGGACGTTGAATTTCCGCAATGATAGCCGTATTATCGTGCGTGGATCAAAGAACTGAAAATTCACGGGCATAATGGACGGAGAAAGTATACAAGTAAGTCGTACGTGGCGTACACGCGCGTTTAGCTCGAACCCGTCCGCGGAAAGTCGATTATTATCTCCTGAATGCGGATAATTAAGCGAGCTCTTTTTTGCGACACGACGGTTGCAGAAACGCACGCGCCGGAAATGAATTAACCCGAGGGAAATGCGTTGAGTGTTATTGAATGATTGATCTATAATTATTTCCTAAATTCGATTAATTGCCCCCGCGAGCAATCCCTACGTCCCGACAGCGATCGAACTTGCTTTAATTGTAAACTGTAATGAATTTTAATGAGTTAGATTTCACTTTAAACGACGCAATTAAAACGGTTACGTAACTTACGAAATTATTCGATGTATTCGCTCCTCGAACAATTTTGATAATGTCTTCTTAGTACGAGCTACTGTCGCCGGTGCATCAGTTTCTCGGCCTGTTTAAATTTATTTAGAATACGGTTTCCTTTGGTAGATGTAAAATTAATTTTAATGATTACTCTTCAAACATCGCCGTGTAAAGGTTTGCTTAATCAATAGTTGTGTTTGTACTTTGGTATTTAGGCTTCAACAACGATCTTGCGGTGTTGCAAGTTGAATTATAATACTCTAATAGCATGTACCGTAATGGTTGCTTCGTCTTTATGTTAAACCTTTGCACTCGGAAGTCTTTCATTAGAAACATTTGACAGTTCCCGGTGAGATATAGATGACATTATTTGAAACGAACCAATGAGGAAACATAGTAAATTAAGAAACAAAGCTATTTTATGCAAACATCTCACATATCGATGCATTATACAAAACTTAATGTTATATATAACACTTTGTAATTTTTTTATATCGAATCTAATGGTGATTCTCAATCACCACTTGATTTGACGCAGTAAAACTATCAAATTTGATATTTAATATTGAATTGTGTATAATGCATCGGTGTGTGAAATATTGGGATAAGAAAGCTTTGTTTCTCAATTTACTTGTGACTTTTCTGTGAGTTAATTTCAAGAAATATCGTCTTTGTCTAGATAGAAAATTTTAAATATTTCCAGTGAAATACTTCCGAATTTAAAGGGTTAACTGATCGATCTTTAGAATTACGGATTTTTGTTTTCTATATTTTTATACAAATAATATCTTCAAAACTGTGAATTTCTGTTCCTCATATTTCTATATAAATAATATCTTTTTATATGAATGTAACGTTTCACGCGAGCAACATTTAAAATTATATATATAATTTATATATATATATATATATTAGTTATATTAATATATATGTACTTTTTTATAGCAACGACATATATTATTTTATTAATTTCCTTATCAAATTGACATCGAAACAATTCACGGTTGTACTATTTGTATCTAATTAATGTTAAACAATTGTTTCGAAATTGATCCAAGCGTACAACTGTTTAATTAAATAATAATGATTAAGCTTGTACTTGTGTCACAGGCATCTGCTTCTATTTAATAAATCACCATTAGAACGTTCTTGATTTATCGAATATTAATTGCTTGCATTCGTTGATACTACACTGCGAACCGTGGAACAATAATTTAAGCAATTGTAGCATTTCAGCCAGCAAAGAATGTTTAATTCGTTCACATGCC